ATACAGATTCACTATTTCACCAGCTGAAATCCTGTTGTCAGCCAGGCTGTGCTGCTGAAGACACTGGAGAGAATACTTTCCTACCCTTCCCAGCTTCACAAGATCACAGGTTTCTTGGCTTATGCCTCCTTACATCCTCAAAGACGTAGGGTTGACTCCTTGAGTCCTAAATGGTGTATTTGTTTTATCTTCTCTACACTGTCTTTCACTTTTAAGGGCCCCATCATCACCTGAGACTCAATAAGACAATTCAGGGCAGGTTCTTCATCTCTGGTTACACACTTTATCAGTATCTACAAGATTTCCCCTCCCTGACACATAGAATAACTTACTTGCATGTTATAGAGACCAGGACCTGGACATTTTCTGGAAACCAGTATTGTGCTTATTACGCATCCCTTTTGAATCTATATGTAGTGGTCAAGATTATATTAGCTGGAGAAAAACCACATCCATCCAATCCCACCTCTGTCAGTCCCCACTGTATGAGCTAAAGCTACACATTCAGCCTCTCTGGCTTCAGTGTCTTCACCTTTAGTAAAATGTCAATTCATACATGTCTTAAATGTTTTTGGAAACTGTTAAATGAATTAGTAAATATATCTGGACTATACTGGCCAAGTACTATAGAACTGTTAATTGTCAGAAAATAGTGGTGCATCAGCTAATATAGGCAACTCTGATGTACTAGCATCTATAATTTGTAGTTTAATACAGTGTGCTTATTTTTTATATGAAAATTTAGAGTCATTATGGAATGGACAGACTTTAAATCCCAAAGTAATTTATGCTTCCAATTATCTCTAGGAACTCTTGAATCCTCTCTATCTAACAATAAGCAAATATTAATAGAAGAATAAAATATCTCAAAGAAGGCATCTAGAGATCAGCTCTGACAATTATCTATATTGTGTCCAATTTGGTCACAGTAGAGAAGGTGGGATAGCCCAGAATCCTCCCAAGACTTGTTGAAGAGCCAGGAAGCCCATGACAAAGACAACCAAGTAAATAAGTTCCAGGTACCCCTAGACCCCTTTGCAAGCAGGAAAGTCATTCAAAATTTGATTGACTGTGAAGAGAGGTATCTAGAGGAAGTGGGAGATTGGGGGGAGATTCAGATCTGTTGTCACCTGGGTTTGTGGACACAGGACAAGAGCATCAAGATGAGGATTACAGGGTGACTGCTCAAAGGATAAGCTACTATGGAGAGAGCCAGCATGCAAACAAAGGAATGATCCTTGCACTCAGAGGTAAGGTCTAGCTCTAGATATGGATGCCATCATTAACACACAGGCAGTCATTTAAGTCAAGAAACTGTATGAATGCAGATAGAATAACAGGACCAATGAGCACCCTCAGGAGAGGAAGCCATATAAAGAAGAAGGTACTAGAGGAGAGGGAGCAGAAGACAAGGAGGGTGGGAGTGACCAGTGGACAAGTGAAGAGAAAACTTGCAAGCAGTGTGAACAGCTACCAAGAAAGAAAGTGGCAGTGATCATCAGAAGAGCCAGGGGAGAAAATCTCTGTTGAGCGTGGTTATGGAAAAAATGTTCCTAAACACAGATCATAAAGTAAATGGAAGATGGGGGAGAGAGTGAGAGAGAGAGGAGAGAGAAAGAGAACTAACATTGTCACAAGGTTCCATAAGGCAAGAAGAAAGGATGTTAAAGGAAGGAAAGACATTGGTGATTAACAGGCTTCTGCTTCTTTAATATAATAAATGATTTTGAGCACGTGGGTAGGTGATAGGAAGGACCAATGAAGGAAGAGGTAGGAAACAAAGACAAGGATGACAAAGAAGTTGGAAGCAGAGAGGTGAGAAACCCAGTTTCTGCATCCTCAGCCTTCCTGTGACAAACTGTTTAGAAATGGGGAGATGGAAGGGGAGGTTCTCTGCTGTTGTATTTGAGGAACTTAAGGTCAAGAAAGTACGTCAGCAGTCCTCTGAAGAACATAAAGGGTTGAGCTGAATCTCTTGGAATTATTGCCAGTAATCACAAAAAAGAGAAGACTCAGATTCCCTTCTGCCTGACAAAGAAAGTGTGACTTGTGTTTCCAGCCAATGACCTGATGCTTCGTACTCTACAACAGAGGAGAAGAGATCCCAAATCTAATTATGACATTCTCTTAGTTATTTACACTTACTTAGGCCCAAAAGGATTTAACATGATTAATGCTTTAACACTCAGCCTCATTTTTCATTCCTTCCTTGGGATAAGGATTAAATTCTACAGCAACTCTAACAAGCAAGGGGTGTGGGGCCACTGCACCATCCTCCAAAGCCAGTCCCCAGAGAGCTCTCTAGAGACAACACTTTCTTGTATCCAAAACTGAAACAGAATAAACATCATCCATTTTTAAGGAATATGAAAAGTCTGTCCTCTGCTAAGTTGGAACGATATTTAACAGACATGCCTATGTATATTGCAATGTATTTCCTTAATGTGGATAAATCATCATTAGTAACAAATCAATGGTTCCTCTCTCCCCTCTCTCTGTGTATGTGTGTGTGTGTGTGTGTGTGTGTGTGTGTGTGTGTGTGTAGAGGCCAGAGGTCTATCCCCAGATGCTGTTCACCTTGTTTTTGTTTGTCTGGTTGTTTGTTTTTGTTGGTTGGTTGGTTGGTTGGTTGGATTTGGTCTTGCTTTGTTTTGTTTTGTTTCGTTTCATTTCATTTTGTCTTGTAGCAGCTCCTCCCCAGTCTAGGGCTTACCCTTTTGGCTAGGCTGACTGGCCTGTGAGCCCAGTGGTCCATCTGTCTCTACATTCCCATTGTTGAGCTTATAAGTGTGTACCACCATGCCAAGCTTTATTATATGGGTTCTGGGGGTCACACTCAGGACACCATGCTTGCCTGGCAAGGTCTTAGACTGCCTTGATTTCTTTTTCTGCTACTCTGGTAAAATTCCCTGACAAAAACAACTAAGGGGAGAAAGGGTTTCTTTTGGCTTCTGGTCCCAGAGGAAGAGAGTCCACTGTGGTGGTGAAGCCATGGCAACAGGCAGGGTGTTCCCATGGTAACAGGGAAGGCATGGTGGCAGGAACAGGAAGCTGGCTGGTCACAGTCCATCCTCAAGGAAGCACAGAATAAATAGGAAGCAAGGTGTTTCTCTAAAGCCTCAAGGTGACCCACTTGCTCTGCAGGCAACCCTCTTGCTCCATAGAGGCTCCACAAGCTACAGGTTCCACAAGCTTCCTAAACAGAGCCACCATCTCGGGACCAAGTGTTCAAACACATGAACCCATGGAACCATAGGGGGCAATTCATATTCAGACTGTAACACCAACTAAGTAATTGTCCAGCCCCAGTTATTCTTTTTAAAGGGTAAAATAATGACTATATACACACATTATATATGAAGGTTAAATGAGGCTCAGAAAATCTTGCAACGTCACAAATGCAGTCATAAGCCCCAGGCACCAGATTTCAGATGGAGGCTACAGGCCAGAAACTCAAGTAGACACCTGGAAATGTATGCAGTCTGGTTTTCCAAACCCAAACCTTAAGACTGTGGGGAAGAAAGCCATCAGCCTCCATGTGTGTTCCTCCTCCATGCACCTCCTGCTTTGCTCTCTATACCCACTTCCAGAATTTACATTCCCATCTGTTACTAATGACAGCTGAAGACACTATGAATGCATTGCATTCAAGGGTTTGGCTGTCTACCCCCATGAAGATGCAGACTCCATGAGACCGAGGAGACAGGGCCTGACATGCTGAATGGGCTCTCACCAAAGTGTGTTGACAGCCTTGACCTGTAAAACCCAGTAGATTTCTCTGAAATGAAGAGATGCATCAATCAGTAGAAGCGGCTTCTCTTTTTATCTGCCGCCACATGACATCTGCACCTCATTCCCAGGAACTCTCATGCTCCAACCACTCCTGAATGTTTCCTCATCTCAGAGGGCTCCTGATGTTTAGTGACCCTATATGTTCTATACACATTCCCCTGTGATTCTATGACTTGGTGTCTTTCTGTACCACCACCATCACCACCACCACCACCACCCCACACCATCCACCCCTACTCAACCTTCCAGAATCAAATACATTCACTGAAACATTTCATCTCATAGATGATCTCTCTGAGCACCCTGCAGATGCGTCAGCTCTTCCTTTCAGCATTTATTCATTCAAGTGACACTCTCAGGAGATGGGTTGGTGTTCCCATGTGTTTGCTACTGTGAGAGAAAGCACTGCATACAAACACAGATGGTCCCTGTGCTCATGGAATGCGTAGTATCACCAGGACTGTGCCTCCCTCCTCTCTGAGGAGCCATCCAGCAACCTACAAGGCAATTACATGTTGACATCTGTCTCCCCAACTAGACTCTGAAGTCCTGCAGGGAAAAACCATTCTTCATTTGTCTCCATTTCCCCAACATGCAATGTTTGTTCCTTGATAAATGTTTGAATGAATGAAGTAACCTAATGGCCAAAGGATATGAGAGAGATGATCGTTTCTAGCCATCATATTGACAGCCCATTTCTTTTTGCTCCTGGCCTTGAAGGTGTCTGCTGTTGCTGAGGATGTCATTTTCTCTCTTTCCCCCTTGGTACCTGTAATGGCTGCCACTCATTCACAACCTGCTTTGTGCAAGATACTTAGGTACCATATGACATCACAAAGCTTAACATCTTATTTAACCTCCAAGAGACCACTAGTTGGGGACTAACTCAAAAACCCATACCCCTTCCTGAGGATCCCTACACAATAATGATTGCTAAGGGAGAGACATTTTCTTCAATGATGTAGCCATTGATAAATTGTCCCACTACTCTAAAAAAACCCTTGCCCATGCTCATATAAATAATCCTAATTAAACTCATAGAAACACACACGCACATACACACACACACACACCCCAACAGGAAAACAGAAAGAGAGCTCCCTGTGAATAGTAAGAAAATAATCCTAAGTGGAAAGGGGAGACTAGAGGATAATAGGACATAAATAATATGATGCCAACACATTATATACATATATGAAAATATTACATATAGTTAACATATTTTAATAAAAATTGTAATAATACAAACACCAGCAAATAAATATCAGTGCCCCTGCTTTGAAAATGTCTTCCTTTTCCTCCTGACAGGCCCTTCTTGTGCAAGTGGGACCTGTCTTAGACTCACATGACTTCTGAGCCCTCTCTGGTAGAGACAAGTTCCTGAACATCCCCATCTCCCAGAGACCCAGGTCCCTCTGTCTGTTTGCCACCCTGCTCTGCTGCAAACCCTCCTTTGACTCTGATTGCACAAGCAGATCCTGGCAAAGTCACAAGTCTAGACTATATTGATTTCCTTGACAAGTGACAAATAGAACACCATGATGAGCTATTTCAGAAAAAAAAAAAAAACAGAAAGAGTTACAACTTAAGACAGCTGTTACTGATCCCTATCCTACCTGGATATTGATACTGGGTGCTCTCCCAGAGAGAACAGTGCCAGCCAAGCCCCAGCCGTAAGCCTTACTCCATTCTAACTTGTAGCTGGCAAGAGTTGGACATGTGGGTTATACTGCAACACATGCACTGAGTCTTGTTGCATGACAGCTTACAAATATACCAAAGTGTATGCAAACCACTAGGTTTTAGTAAAGAAGGTATATGAATAATCTCACCTGGAACAGAGCATGATAAAGCTACTTGAGATGACTCGTGTGGGAAAATTCAGAGTATCATTAGATTTTGAACACCGACAAACATGGTTGGACTCCACTCCTCCATCTGATGCCTGCATGACCTTCAGGAAGTTACTGAATCTTTCCAAGGTCTCCTGCCTTATCTACATAATCAGACAATACTACCAGTTCTATAGGCTTACTGAGGAAATTAAATGAAATAACATTTACAGGAGGTCTAGAATTTCAAATTGATGTAAATGCCTTTGTCTTCTTCTGCTCTATTCTAGTTCCTTCACTTTATGGAAATCTGGAATTCTTATAAGGAAATAAGGAGCCATCACCGTCAACCTCTATCCACAGCAGAGCATACTCCTGCATGAATCATCTGGCTGCCAGGGCTACACCTCTGTTGTCCTTAATAACTCAATTCTGGTTTGTTTGGTTTTTTTTAACACTGGCCTGTTTATGTTATATGTCTGTTTCCCCCATAGACTGAGATGACTTATCATGAGGTCCATTTTCTTTATTACAACACAATAACCAAAGGATACGAGAGATATCATTTCTACCCATCATAGTGACATCCTTCTTCATTCCACGACTGGCCCTGAAAATGTCTGTGATATTCCTCTGGCTGTTATTTTCACTTATAGTCTCTTTCCTCTCTGTCTTCCTCTTTAGTCACATCCTGGCTACCACTGGACTGACTCTGTGTAGCATATGGATACATGATACATAAATGAAATGTTGACAAAGTTCTAGAAAACTCCTCTTCTATCAAGCACACATCTTAAAATGATCCGCCCTTTCTTGTTGTGCATGTACAGTTTACATATGGTTGTAAAGCTGATTGTTCTTGTCCTGACATGAATGTCCACTGAGCACTACAGACACAGTCCTACCTCACTAGGAGCAGATGTGAGGACAGGAATAAGTTGTGCATCAGTCAAGGTGCTGAAATATGGAGTCCAAGAGAGCCCTGCGCTGTGCAGAGAAGGCACCTGGGAGATGCTAATTGATGGCTGAAGAAAAATGAGAGCAATTCCATGGTCTCCAATCTAAATTATACATTCACCCTCTCCTGGCTCTCTGAGACACATAATAGATGAATAAAAGAGCAAAACTTCAGAGCATTAATTCTTAAAATGCGGGCACTGGATACTTCTTCTAAGTCCTCCTCTGTTTCTCTCATTCCCTTTTGATTGATAAAATCTCAACTCCACAGGAACAGTTAAGAGAATAAATTAGAAATATAGTCTCAGCATTTACAGAGCATACTCATTTCTAAGATTGAATCAAACCCAGAAGTGCAGAGTTTAGAAAGGCAAGAAGCAGTTCCTGCCCTAGGAAAACTCACAGTTGCCTGGGATAGACAGGTGGCAGTGTAGCATAATAATCCCTTATTACTATAGCCAAGCTAATAAAGATTTATGTCTGTAGCAAGGTACCACAGAGCTGGTAGTTGTATTTAGCTTCCCCATTGCTGGGCTAGACACCTAACAAAAGCATCTCAGGGGAGAACATTATATTTCAACTCATAGCTCTGAGGTACAGTCCATCATGGCTGGGAAGTCCAAGGAAGTCGGCGTGGCGACTTGAGTTCGGCAGTTTGAGGCTGCTGGTCATGTTGCATCTACAGCCAAGAAACAGAGAACAGCAATGTTTAAGTTTGGCTGGCTTTCTCCATTTTATACAGCACATAAGACTTTTAGGTTGGTTCCCACATCAATTAACTTAAGATCAGTCCCCGCAGCCATGCCCAGAGGCTTGTCTCCCAGAAGACTATAGATCCTGCCAAGCTGACAATCAATATAAACCATCACAGTAGTTGAGAACATGAGAGAGTGATCTCTTTAGTTCTGGATCCCAGAATTCCACAGTCTTGAGACCAGTCTCTTGGGGGATCTTGTCTAGAGCGAAACCATTGCAGGTTTCTTATTGCTCCTGGTGGTTTCTGGATTCCTTCACCTGTGGCCACATCATTGCAATCTCTGCCTCTGTCCTCAATTGCATTCTCCTCTGAGACCAAACTCATTTGCACGAGGAGTTCATTTCATTGTAAAAAACATTAGTCTCTTCTTGAGTTGGACACACCTGTGTCACCCAGGATAATTTCCCTATGGTAACATCTGCAAAAGCTTTTCCCCAGATCACACTGATGAAGGCTGAATTCGGATGTGGAGACGTGTTTTGGAGAGCTGGCTTTCCAGACACTGTAGTAAGCACCATGCTGTGCATTACTGTATTTCTTTGGAGAGCAGCGACTGAGACTCCTAAGGTCAGCCCCATTGTCCAAGACCACTTAACTCGGAGAGTGGCCAGCTGCAACTCACACCCACTTCTGACTCAAAAACATCTGCTCCCCTTGTCACTACTCATTCAAGAGACCATGAGATAGTATTTCATGTGGTCCCAGACGATCATGAGCTTTAAATTCATAGCCAGTAAGACAGAACTGAGGAAAGCCTTGTGAAGACAGACGCTGAACAACACAGGAGGTTTTAAGGTGCTGTGAGACAGTGACGCTACCTCAGAAGAAGCCTGCTGTCTTAGATACTTCCGCATTGTTGTGATAAAATGCCCTGACCAAAGCACATTAAGGGAGAAAGGGTTTGTTTTCACTTACCGTTCCAGAGGGATAGACTCCACCACGGTGAGGAACACACAGCACAGGCAGGGAAGGTAGGAAAGGCACACCGTGGCAGGAGGCTGGGTGGTCACATTGCATTCACATTCAGGAAGCAGAGGGTGAGCAGGAAGTGTAGCCAGACTATAAAGCCTCGAGGCCTACCCTCACTCCAGGTCTATTCCCCCAAGTGAGGCTCTACCGCCAAAGGATTCATGGTCTTCCCAAACAGCGCCACCACCTGGAGACCAAGCGTTTAAACGCGAGCCTATGGGGACCTTTCACATTAAACCATACCACCTGCCATACCTAAAGTGCAATGCTTTTGGTGAAGGGCTCTAAACGTAACACATTTTAGAGGAAGAAAGGCCTTTACCAACCAGGCAAGAGAGGAGGGAGCAATCAGGAATGGAGAATCATTGAGAGGGAACCAAAATGAAGAGAAAGATTGGGGTATAACACAAACACATCACAGATGAGAAAATTAAGACATCAAATGGGCGAGGGAAGCATGGACCTGCTGCAAATCTGGAGAAATGCAACCATGATGGCTGCCCAAAGGGGACTGCAGATAGGGAGTTGAGGCCGGGGTCCTTGGCAAGGGCAGCATGCAATGCATCTTTCTGCATGTTTGGGGATTGGCTATAAAAGTGGGAGCCACTGGACAGTATTCAAGATAAGGAGTAGCTGAAATCTACCTCTGCCCTCAGAGCTCCTCTCTCTAAGTCCTTATGATGTGAAACACAATCTTCAGCACCACCTTTGGCTTTTGCTCTGGGGAAGAATGTGGCAAAAGACGCAGTGACACATCCAATCACATCCTCCTCGGGGTACTAAATGTAGAGAGCCAGCCACTTGCTCCCTTGGTAGGAAAGTGATTTGGCTGCCCTATTTTAAGGTGGAATTCTGAGTGCGGGTCACTTGGGTGAGAACATTTTACGCTGACCATCTCTAAAACAGCAGATCATTTTACATACCAATGCTGAGGTCCACAGAGGTCTAATAGGGCTAGACTAGCTAATGGAATTGGATACAATAATTGGTCTCAATGTGTCCAAAATTAAGGATATGTGGCTTTTAAATGCCCTAAGAATCTGGATTAGGGTAAACACAACTGATAGAAAATGTGTATAAGATAGGACTGTCAACATTCTTCCAGGAAGGATATAGGGGCTCTGGGGACCCACACTCTCCGGAGGATGTGTAAGCAGCTAATAGTGACTAGGGCAGGAAGATACATTTTCTCTAGTGGTGCAGTCACTGATGAATTGCCCATGCTTCTATAATAACCCCTCATCCGTTCATCCATGCCCCGTAACCAATCCTGATGAAACTCATTGGAACACACACACACACACACACACACACACACACACACACACACACACACACACACACACACACGGGTGGGGTGGGGCCGGGAGGAGAGAGAGAGAGAGAGAGAGAGAGAGAGAGAGAAGGAGGACCAGCTGGGGAAAAGAATGATGTCAACATGAGTGGGAATGAGGTACAAAAGGGTCATGAAGGAGGTAAAAATATATTACAATATGTGTATGAAAATGTTATAATGAAATAGAGAGGAGGCTCTGTGGTTAAGAGTGTGTTACCCATCTTGCAGAGGACCAAGGTAACCTCATGAGATGACTCACAACCACCTGTAACTCCAGCTCCAGAGGATCTGACTCCCTCTTCTGCCTTCTGCAGGTACACTACATATACACAAACCCATACCCACATACACACAAATTAAAACTAAAGTATCTTTCAAAAAATTAAAGATAATAATGAAACACATTATTATGTGTAATTAATATATGCTCATAAAAATCAGGGAAAATATTAGGGAAAAACCCAGAAAGGACAAGAGATCATTTTCTTTTTCCAGAGGGGCAAGCCAATCCCACTCCTGTACTTCTTTATCACTGAGACAGAGTGGAGGGTGGAACAGAACTGGGGATTCTCTCCCAGTGATACCTGGACTGCTGTGCCAGCAGGCTAGGAGTTGCAGACCAAAGCCAAAACTGATAACAAAACTCTAACCCCTTCAGGCACACACTCCCATTTTCTCTTCCCACGAATCCAGCCACCTGCTTCTTGCATTACTTCTTCCCACTTCAAAGCTGCGAGTGAAAGAAAACTGACCCACTGTGTCGATACAAATTAACATCTGGTCACACAAAGCGAGAAATGGTCTCTGTAATGAATCTTTCCCTCAGACGAAAAGAAAATATTAATTATGCCTAACGTCGGTAAAGCAGGTGCCAGTGCACTTTTGTGCAATAATTTCATTTTATCTTGTGGAATGAGTGAAACAATACATGAAACACACTTCGAGCTCTGCTCAGAACAAAGCAGGTGTTCAATGAGGATCACTCTTCCTCTCTCATTTCCCAGTAGAGTGTTCCTGCTGTCACCGTTCCAGCGTGCCTCTGGGCTGTCACTTCCCGTTACTCTCCACAGTGAAAACTGGGGCAATATTGTTCTCTTCCTTCCCTGCTAACAAACAGAATCCTACCAAATCCCTTTAAAATGAACCTGCAGAAGTGCAGAGTGACAGGTTTTATAAATCATCCTAATGGGGAGAAACTATACCTCTCCTCCACACAAACGCAGCCTGGGCCTGTGCAACTGAGCTCGTCATGTGGAAGCAGTCTAGGTCAGCAGCCCTTACCGTGAAATTACATCAGAGCCTGTTTAATCTGGATGACTGCCACGTGATAATGCAGCCCACCAGAAAAACCAGAATAGTGAAGTTGTGTGACTTTCATCTATGTCATGGGGCTTGGGGAGTGGCCCTGTAAGTCACAGAAAACTAGGGGCTAATTTACTCTGTAGCTAGAGTCCTACAAAGAATGAGAGATAGTTTTCGCCTTTGAATATTTCAGAGAGAGAGGGAGAGATGGGGGGGGGGGTCTATGTGTGCTAACGTAGAAATAAAACTCTATTGTGGGAAAATAACTGAGAGATGCTGTGTCTTATTTTCTGTTACTGCCTACAAAGGTGTCCTAGTTTGCTTTCCTGTTGCTGTGATAAAAATACAGACCAAAAGCAACTTGGGAGGAGATAGTTTCTCCAGCTTATCCTTCCATGTCACAGTCTATCATGTAGGGAAGCCAAGGCAGAGGGACTCGAGGCAGGAACCCGGAGGCAGAGACATGGAGGGGTGCTGCTTACTGACGTGCACCCCACGACTTGGTTAGCTCTCCTTATATAACCCAGAACCCCCTGCCCAGGGAGGCATTGCCTCAATAGTCTGGGCTCTCCCACATCAACTGGTAGCCAAGAAATGCCCCACAGACATTCCCACAAGTCAATCTGATAGAGTAATTCCTTAATGGAGGTTCCCTCTTTCCAGGTGGCTCTGGTTTGTGCCAAGTTGACAAACATGAACAATCACACATGATAAACAGATCCAGTGTCTTTGCTTGTCCATCATCACCATATTCATCCTTCAGCATCATCTTCATACACCCTACAGGCAGAATTAACCAATTGTCTTTCTGTGGTCCTGGAGCTGTACACACAATTGACTGATCAGCCCTAATTCGAGGACTCAGCATGTGTATGCTGGGCCCCTTCACAAGAATGAGGGCCAGGCAACATCTTTATCTTTATAATAGCCCCAAGGCTTAGTGTTGGAACTGTTATTTGGTAGGGATTCAGCAAATGTATACAGAATTTAAATTTAAAAGCATAAAGCAAATACAAGAACTTCCTAACATTCTCTAATGACCCCGTACTGTGAGATAATCCCCCATCCCCAAGCACTTTCCCCTTCCCCAGGTGTAAATATGGAAGCTCCACCTGGAGATTTCCTTTCTTATTTGTTTTTTTTTCAAGTGTGTGTGTATGTGTATGTGTGCACACATAGGTGTGTGTACATCTGTATGATCTGTATGCAGAAACCAGAGGATGACCTTCACTGTCTTTCCTTAGGAACTATTCTGAGTTTTTTGAGAAAGAATCTCTCACTGGCTAGTAGGCTAGGCTGGCTGCCCAGCAAGTCC